CCATTTGCGCTAACAATGTGAATGCTCGATCACGTTCAGCATCGGCTACTTGCACAATCTTGTCGCATTCAACTGCTAGTTTATATCTAGTGTTAGTAGCAATATTATTAAGAACATCGAGTTTTTCGTTCAGTAAATGCACAGCACTATCAGTTTTCCCTGCAACTAAGTTCACATGATTTTGAGCACATTTCAGACAAATATGTTGTGAGCAATGAAAACATTGAACTTTTGGCGGTTTTCTCTTCCATTCAATGCAGTTGCGGTTAGAAAAATTTTGTTATTTCTGAATTATTTTACGGACTGAATTCGTTCTGTATGTAGATAATATTTCATTCAAGAAAAAATTCATCTAATTAACAAGTAAATATTAGATTAAGGTTCAAACACAATAGGCGAGACTTGAGTTTTTCTCTAGGTTTCTTTTTTCTTGAATTTCACGAATCGAGACATCTCAAGCCATCATTTAGAGAGCCTACATTCTTGTGGATAGGTTTGCATCAACATCATTACATTATTCAATGGAATGGTTTTGACAGTCGATTCCATGGTTTTCCAATCGAAAATAGCCAGACAACTTGCAACCAATGATACGATGGCCGTATTCGACGATTTTATTCCCTCGATGACAGTCGTAACTGGAAAATCTGATCACTCAATCCGTACATTATATTCATGCTTCGAAGGTCTCATCATTTTTCAATCTTTTAACTAGAGCCGACTATTCATCATGCACTTGGATAGACAGCAGTAGACTAATGCAGTACTATATATGCGTGCATATGATGCAGGGAGGACGACGCTTTCAATTCGAATGAACATATTCTTTTTTGTATTATGTAATATTCAATTATGAACAATAAATTTGTTAATTTTTCGGTTAAAAGCAAATGACATATAGGAGTTATAGTATCGTTACATACTCATGTGTGAATAACAATTGAGCTACTGGCACTTCGCTAATTAGAGAACAGTAAAATGTTCTTTAAATATCGTCTGTTTTACAAATGTACTTCCTCTACCAGCCTTTTAAGCATATGATCCTATGAGTATAAAACAGTCGTAGAAAGAAGTGGCTGTATGCGTAATAATGATATAGGTAGTTGTTGTTTTACTTTCACTTAAAGGTAAAATTTGGATGTATCTTATCAGAATTCAATTGAATAGCGTTAAATAAACTTTAAAACCAAAAGACAAAAACTCTCGTTGGTTTACATTTTCTATTCATTAGAAATGCACCGATAGAGATGCTACTGTTTCAAAATATGAAGAAAATTAATATTAATATAGCATCATATTCAGTGTATTTTCTCGTAAGTGTCTGCCATGCAGTGATTATTGGCTCAGCCCATTTGCTCTACACTATTGATAATAATCTCTCTAACATTTTTCTGTTCAACTCTTTTATATTAACACTTTTAGAATCTCCATCATTTTTAGCATAATATTTCTTGCTCTCTAGAATTTCTTTCCATTTTGTCTTGACTATCAGTATACGATAACTAATATATTTGAAAACAAATGTGTTTCATCAAAATGATGAGCGAACTTTCTTCATACTGGTAGTTATAGCATATTTGTAACTTTCGTGTTGTTTTGTTACCTTAATAATGCTGTCAGAGTCGATGAAATTAACAAATAACTCGATCAATGAAAACTCGTTTCTCTAAAAAATGGCATGCTTCTACGCTGAAAAAATCTTGCATAAATTCACTATAATTCAAAAAATAATCATCAGATTTGTTTGTATGAGGTACGCCATTGGCAAACACTTATCTTAATAAAGAACTTCTCGAGCTATAATTGAAAATTATTAGTTTTATTTCCTTTTTGAAAAGAGTAATATGCCATACTTTACCCCCATACGATATAATGTCTTTTACAAGTCCATTGTTTATATTGTGCGAATTATATATTATTGTTTCGATAAAAGTCTACAAACGAAATGATTGATACTGCATCACAAGAGTGAACACCAATAAAATGACTATTGCTTATAGTTATTTCGGACAAAAACTCAATGACCGTTTCTATGTAAAGTTAAATGCAATGATAGTTAAAATAGTTAAGAACATCAGTGATTAAAATACATTTCAATAAAATATTTCATCGTCACTAAAAATATGAATTGTCAACGCTCAGGTTCTGCTTCTTGCAAAACAGATATATTTATTTCACTTTCAGTTCATAATTCAATCAATCTCAGTGTTGTCACTGATATCAATGTATTCGTTTGTAATAAAAATATTAAGAAAAATCAATTAATACTATTTAGGTTTTTTGATTCTAATAAGTTGAATATAAGCTAAAATAAACAATAACAAAGCCATCACTGTTAATGCAAAAAAGTTCTTCCATAAATCCCATGCATTAGAATGAGCAAGTCCTCGCTTATCAAGTATCTCGTCACCTGTCATTGGACAAAAATCAGTTTGATTTGGTAAGCAGAATATAAGACCTTGCAATTCATTAATAGTAAGTACATTTGAAGCATATCGAAATGCACTAATCCACTGAATCCATGACAGCCAATTAAAAACACTTGGTAAATCAATAAGAAATCCACTAAACATCATCATAATGACAAGAACAAGAATAACAACAATTAGAGCCACAGCTAAAATAAACAGATATACAAGAATATGTGCAGAAAAGTAGGTATATTGATAAATAACTATACTACCACGGACAAAATTAACTCAACACGTATTTTTGATAGATATTTTCATCAACGGTCGACCACGAAAAATATAAGTTTTTGAGAAATTTTTTTCGTCTATAGAACTTTGTAGAGCTCATTTCGCTGATCATTTTGGTGAAAAAAACATTCAAATTTACTCGATAATTAACGAACCTTGGCTCAGAATACTCAAAAACATCACCTACTACTCAGCTGTGGTCACGAACAGTCTTAAGTTTTTAGTATTTTGACTCTAATATCATTATTTATTGAGTAAATTTGAATATTTTTTTTTGCCAAAATGATCAGCGTAACGATCTCTACAAAGTTCTATAAACGAAAAAAAATTTTTAAAAAACTTCTATTTTTCGTGGTTGACCATTAATGAAAATATCTATCAAAAACATGTGTTGCGTTAATTTTGTCCGTGGTAGATAGATAGTTGTTACTCAATAGCAGTTTAGTTCAACTTCAACAAATATCTAACATAATTTTGCATCATTTGGTCCTTTACTATTGTGTATTTCAAAATAAAAGGCAGGTTATCATTTTTCGAATAACTTTTGATACGAATGAGATACAGAGCTACGGTTTTCACCATTCGAAAGAACGATGTCTGGGCCACCGATTTGTATAATATGCATTGAGTCAAAAGATGCTTTTTTATAGAAAACATTTGATTGGCATCTTTTTCTTGTGTATTTTTTGAATAATTTTCATGATAATCTCTTCTCAAATTACGCCAAAATCTAGCTGAAATTACCTTTCTTTCACTATAAATTTATCATCACTTTGTCGAAATCCACCTGAAAAACGAGATCAACGTGGATAATGAAACATGTCGTAATTTTGTAGTGAAAAAAGGGTGATTTCAGCTACATTTTGGCGTAATTTGAGAAGAGATTATCGTGAAAATTAATGAAAATACACAAGAAAAAAAAAGTGAATCAAATGTTTTCTATAAAAAAGCATCTTTTGACTAGATGAATATTATACAAATCGATGGCCTAGACATCGCTCTTTCGAATGGTGAAAACTGCAGCTCTGTATCCAATTTCTATCAAAAGTTATTCGAAAAATGACAATCTGCCATTTATTTTGAAATGCGCAATAATTATCGAAATCAGAAAACCCACATCTTTTCCCTTGTTTTTAATTATGCTTTTTCTATTTCCTGAGCAAATAGGACTTTTGTGTTACGTATTTAAATATTTGCAACAAAATCTCTATCTTCACTATTTCTTTTTCTGCAACTCGACATCAAACCACAATTTGTCATATTCTTATGTTCTATTTACTCTGCTAAAATCTTTTTCTATACAAATATCAGAAACATGACTACGGACAAAAAAACCTGATCTTACCGAAGATAGATATGGTGGCTGAAACGAAAAAGCACATAGCTGATCCAAATAGACTAGCCACGAAGATTGTTAACAGAAATATAAAGAATTGACTACCAGTTCGAGTTA